CTCTTGAGAAGTTTTGACATGCTCTGACATTTGTGTTGTTTTCAGTATCTTAAAAACATATTAATGGCTAAAGTGTGATAACACTGTAAACAGCACAAGTTGGGCTACAATAATACCCAAGCAGCACTTCAAGCTTTATAAACATATGTGTCTCATCTATGGGAGTTTTATTTTCGCGGAGTTTCAGCGCATTTTACTGACGCGTTTCTAAAACCAGTTCACGGAGAGAGAAAAGACAGAATGCCTACACTGTTTATTATCCTTGTTTTGCAAAAGCACACACATTTGTTTTTGTTGTGAGTGTACACATTTAAAAGTAGACACCTAACAGATTCAATTGATGTATTGATCTTATCTGTATGATCAAAACTGAAAGTGTAATTTAGGTTCATTTCAGCTCAATGAGGTAAAAGCTTGTCAGAACGCGTATATGCGGTCTTCGACCCCAGGGGGTTAATATAATGTAATTACCTCTGGGGTCGCAATCCAATAGAACTAGTAACTATAAGCTATATAAACAACTATTTTTCAGTAGGTTATGGATAAAATATGGTAATACTTAAGGTTTAATAAAAATAAATAGATTATTGGAAATCACCAGACCACCCTTTCTTCATTGTCCCGCGACCCCTCGGGGGGTCCCGACCCCCACTTTGAGAATCACTGCCTTAATGTGGAAACACTGAAGAAACTGTTTTCTCCCTTAAAGACTGAAAGACTGATTATCACACAGTCTCTGTAGCTATTTGATTTGAAACAATGTAAAGTCAACCGCCTATCACTACTGCTTCAATGTTTGTAATATAAAACATTTTCTTTTGAATATTACTATTTTATTCAAAAATAACTATTATCAAATGTCATACTGAACTGAACAATAAACTTTAACAGACAGTATTAATATAATAAGGGCCCTATCATACACCCGGTGCAATCCGGGTGTATGATAGGTATATCCGGGTGTATGATAGGTATGTTTATTATACTAAGGGCCCTATCTTACACTCGGTGCAATCCGGCGCAATTGTTGTTTGCTAGTTTCAGTTTGACGCAAGACTCGTTTTGTCGTTTTGCGCCACGCTGTTTAAATAGCAAATGCATTTGCATTCATATGTTTGCCCATATAAAGAAAGCAATACACATTTATGTTTATGCTAGTACAGGCACTGTTTTAATTAGAAATATTTACAGACTTGTTTTTATTTTGAAGTACCTCACAGTAATTTACTGTGAATTTATATACAATACCTTACTGTGAAAGTAATGCAATTATTAGCCAGTAATTTGCTGTTAATGCAAGAGCAAATAAGCACAATTGGCTGGAAGGGCATCGACATGCCCTGATTTAGTTTTATTTTTTCTAATAAGGTAATTATCACATTTTCTGAAGCAGTTTGAAAAGAAGATGTCAAAAGCGTTCCCATGGATCGATCCATCCATTTCAGACAGGCTGGAGAAAGACTGTAGCTTAACATAAAGGACAGAGAGATTTACAGTGAGATTTGCAGTTTAATTCAAGCAGCGGTCCGTCTTCTTTAATCTCAACATGCCACAGACCTTCCTCCCACAGGGTAACCATTTTCCACAGTCAATTGTAGTCATTTCTGCTTAATCTAAATGCTAAATAATTAAATTATCCTCAGACATATTCCTATTTGCTCAAGCTACAGTGTGAATATTAAGAGGCTGCATGAATGAGGGGTAAATAAAGCCATCAAAATGTTTTGACTTCTCGCCTTTGCAGCCTCGCCGCATTGTAATATCTCCTGCTCTGGAAAAAAAAAGGGATTTGAGACAAGCTGTTGGCGTTGCAGCCTGAAATATAAATGTGACAAAATAAATTATAAATTGACACCACCGCAAAGCCTGTTTTCAGGAGTCAGGCGGTTTTGGTTCAGAGGAAACGGAGTTATCTTTTTTGACACGAATATACATGCTCGCCATGATCCGTGCTCCAAAAACAATGTGTTATCGCTTGAGGTTTGTCTGAATTTAATTTTAACATCAGTACCTGCTCGCGACTTTAGTCTGCCTGTCAGAGACTACACAGCTGGGCTCAGAGCGAACACGGCAGCTTTGTCACTAGTGGGAATAAGCTGAGCACAACTTTGGCTGTAGGACTGCTTTTTCAAAGATGACGGTCCCAAAGAGCCTGTCCCAGGAAACATTGTCCCTGCATCTGCCTCCTAAGTATGGTTCACTTTTCAGCGACTGGAATGCCCTTGAAGTTACAGCCGCTGTTTCCTCAGCTCACCTTGTGAGCATCTTGAATATTGTGAAAATCGTAATGCTCATATTTTAGCTTCCAGACACACCTTAAGGCTCTTCTCTTTCAACACTCCAACTTAGAATTATGTAATAATACTAATATTATTATTAATAATAATAGTTATTGTTATTATTATGAAAATAAGAATTAATAAGAATAAATAAAAATAAGAATAAATAAGAATAACTACCAGCTTTTTTCAAATGTTTATATATGCAATTACTTTATTAT